CGTGACAAAGGGGAATTGTACCTTACTTTATCAGGCAAAATCTTATAATAGTATAGACATGTCAAGGAATTAGGGGGCTAATAGTCTGACAACCGCAAAAGAAATTAAACTCCATATCAATCAATTTCTTAAAATTTTTCAGAAATTATCCCGCACATATTTTCAAGTTAACTACTCATAGTAAAATCATAATATTTCAAAACATATAGTGACTTTTAACTTCGTCCCCATCTCACCAAAACGGCAAAACTTGAACCAATTGGTTAAAACAACATACAGCATATCAGTTTTGAGTTTGTGGATTGGAAACAACGGAAGTCTAATCCTTTTTCCATTGAAGAAAAAATATTGAAAATTGAAAGAAATAATGACCACTTTGATATAAATAACATGTAATTTTCCTCAAGAATCAAGCCGTGAGAGAGCTCTTGAAACAAGGGCTAAACAGATTATTTAAGAAATGAGAATGGAGAAATAAGGCTCACTGGAGCTTGCCCGGAGGCAAAAGACGCTGGAATTGTCGAGAATCGGAGCGAATTAAATCTAAATAGGTGGGATCGATGAAGAACAATGCGGAGACCGGATGAGAACAGTAGCGTAAGACGCACTTGGAACTGAATATGAAAGCGCACGTAACTGACAAAAAAAGCTAGGAGAATTATAATCAAGTCTCGGAAAAAAGTATTGTTGATGAAATTGTGGGGAGTATTGGTGATGAAACTTGTGGTTCGATCTTGATGCGGTTTAGACTCATTATATGAATTTTATTTTATTATTCTTGGACTCAGGAATCTGCCACGAGAGGGGAAGACAAAAATGGGAGGGTCCCATTTGTGAGGAGGCATCCGCTGCCCCTTGTGTAGGTGAAAACGATATGATTGGATGGAAGGAGGGTGAGGATCAGCCTTTTTCCGGTTGTGTATTTTCTAGTCGAATGATGCGGAAAACAAAACCATCACTCAATAACCAGAATCGAATTCTAGAATCTGGATAGTAGAGAAACCACGGGGGGACAAATTTGGATGAACACAATTCTAGATGAAGGTGGAGAAGAAGACTGAAGCATTAGGATTTAAAAAGTGTTTGGATATTTTTAAAAATATTTTTTAAAAGTAATTTTTATAAATTGAAAAAAACTTTTTACATATTTATTTAATATACTATAAAATTTACTTTTAAATTATAATTTAATTTTTATCCAAACGTACGTAATGAGGCGGACGAAGGAGAAGAACTTGGAGGTGTGTAAAGTAGTAGTTTGGAAGGATGTTGAAGACGGAGAAGGGACGAGATAGAGGCTCTGACATAGGTCGGATAAAAAAAACACCCGAATATTTGGTTAAAATATACATTTGATTTTTTAATTTTATATAAAGTTTTAATTTAGTCTCTTAACTTTAAAAAGCATACATTTAGTTCTTTAATCCTAAATCATTATACTTTAATGATTATTTTTTGTAACAATAATAGATATTTTGAAAATTAAACTTAATAGGTTAGCATTTGAAATATTTTATTAACATTTAAATCTTAATGTCACATTTTTTTAAAAAAATTTAGGATTAAAGAATTAAAAGTATATTTTTTTTTAAATTAAAAGACAAATTAAAATTTTGTATAAAGTTAAAAGAAGTAAATGTATACTTTAAATCAAAAATAAAATTGTTCCTAAATCAATAATGAGGAATGGTAATCAGGATGCATAGATATCCACCTCAGACAACTTAGCATTTCTTTCAGGACATAACCTGCTGTCCGAATTTAATTTTAAGATTTCGCCGCTTTGGGCTCGGGCACATGGTGGTCGTGGCTAGTTAATCCTAAATTCCCAGTGTCCGCGGTTGCGTTTTGTCGCCCCTTGCCGGCTCTAGAGAGAGAGTCACACAAGGACTAAAATGCCCTCGCACATCCATTTCTTCGCCATGTCATGTGAAGTAGGTGGAGAGTATTATGGTCATATCGCTGGTACTCCAACAGCATTTATCCAGGCAATAAAACTGTGCAGCGTCCTCCAGATACATGCCCACCATCACATCCAAATCAAACAAGATCAGAAATTGACATTTCGAAATTTACTGGCGCATCGTCCTTTTCCTTCCCTTTTTCCCCTATTATTTTATATTTTTGCCGAAGCATCGTCCTTGTCCTTTAAGTCCCATATATGTTACAGAATCCTATGTTGAAGAATCCTTGCATTCTGTCCCTCTATCATCATCATTCTGTGCTCCAACGTGAGCAAAGGACGACATGGTACTGCCCAATCTCCTTTTCAAAATTTGGTTTCTGATTCTGGACGCGACGCCGTTCTTGGTTTGTGATTTTGAATTTTTGACAAATGCATTGCTTCTTAAGGGAAGTCCTTGCTGGGATTTGTCTCTGTCTTGGATATGCTGGGCCAAATTTTTTCCCCTAAATGTTTCTGTGCGTGCTCGCTCACTCGTTCTGTGATTTTATTTATTTTGTTGATGCGGTTTTTTTCTTATCATGCAATTCAATCCGACAGAAGTGTTAAATTGCTTACTGTGAGAGTTGAATATCAGTTTGCAGGACAATAGCCAAAATATAAGTCCTTGAATTATCTTACATTCCTTTGCCTTTCGTTTGATTGGGAGCTTTGTTAAGTGCTTTAAATTAGAATGATATAAAATCCAGTAGGAAAATGGGTATTCTTATCTTTCAGTAATTAGTCCCAGATCTGGACGGAAAATCAACAATCACCCTAAGTTTCGACTAATTTTTCCTGCACCAATGAGTGTGAAAATGAAGAATTCATGTTTTATCTTCTGATCAATATTTAAACAGAGACTTTATCTGATATCATCCTTCATAAGGTTTTCAAAAGTATTATGACCTCTCTAATTGATAGCTTTAGGTTGAATCAGTGCTTTAAGAATTAGGATTTATCTGGTCTATGATACCTGTTATCCCAATTCAAGCTAAACTTGATTTGGATGAGAACAGCATCAAGTTTCTTGTTTAGAATTAGCCATTAGGGGAGAGCAATGAAGGACTAGGTTTCACTCTATATGGGTTTCTCTTATAGTTCCAACTGGAGTTCTTTTAGCTGAAATAAAGCAGGGAAATTATTGCCAAATGCATTCTGGTAGTCCACAGTTTGAGGTGAGACTCTGTATTCTTCTATTCAGTCATTTCAGTTTCAATCATTGGCTGCAAAATGAAGCTTTAAGTTGGGTCGTATTCTGTGGAAGATGATGTCGTATGCTGGTTTCCTTGCAAATATGAGCCATGTGAAATCTTATAGGGCTCCAATGAAGGGCTGAGAGGACTGAAGAACATTTTTTTCGCTTTGCCAAAAAACCATTACTATATTTTCTATTGAGGGTATAACGGGTTTCTGCGCTGGAAGGTTCTTGCCTTCAATTTTGGGGGAAAACTGTAAAGTCATACCATAAATTTAAGATGAATTATACCACGTTACCGAAGGTATATAATGTGAAAAACCAGTGTAGAAGGACAATCTGTGCGACTAATTGGTGATGTTAGCATATCATTTATTTTCCCTCATAATGTTTTTCCTCTGATATGCGCTTCATTTTTCTTTTTTGTGATTTAATTACTGTACCATGGGAAACAGAAATGGAACTTTGATCATATTTTTCTTTTTCTTTTTCTTTTTTCCTTGTTTTTTCCTCTCCCCTCATAATTATTTATCCATGCAGCTGAAATAATTTTGGGGAGCATCAGTTCTTTTCAAATACTGTGTCATTTCAAGGAGAAAACTGTAACGGAGCTTGGAGCTCATTCTAGAAGAAATAATCACTAGATGTTATTATTTTGCAATTATTGTGTGGAATGATCACTCAATTTGGATGTGATGGAAGTCAGTGCAGTTAGTTCACATTCCAATAGGTTGCAAACCTTGAAGCATTCAACAACAGCAGATGACGGGAAAATGCCTTGTGAAAAGGGATATATAGAAGTACTCGTATCAGTGGGAAGCCAAATTTGACAAACACTTCCTCTTTTGTTAATCATGGTGAGATTATCACACAATCAGATAGATGCATGTTTTCTTCTCTTTAAACCATGTTATCATCTCTTTGTAACCAGGCTGTTGTACAAAAATCAATAAACTCATCTTATTGGTATTTGTCACTATTGATGCTGATTATAAGGATGATTCAAGTATATCCATAGACTTTTGGGAAGAATTTGGTGTAGGGACAGTATTGAATAACATCCTTCTTATATAGGGAGGTTATAGGAGAACCAATGGTTAGCTGTTGCGAAAAACAATCTTTAAAATTTTCTTTTGAAATGGTTGGGCGAAAACATCAGAAATCTTGATTGAGGTGGCAAGAAAATTGCCAATGAATTGATAACTCATATGGGACCAACCCAAGTCTTTGTCATTGAGGCGATCTTGATTTTTTTGGGTTTACAACCTATCCCTTAACCTTTGCATGGTAAATAACATCCTATATTTCTAAAAAGTAAAAGTAAAAATATAAACAAAAAAAAAAAAAAACAATGCTTAGAAAGACTCTTAAACGGGAGCTTTGTGACAACAGACATGTCAGTTTCTAGGAAGCTAGTTCTATTTCCGTTCTGTGGTTTGTCAAACAGAAAATCTAAATTCTACGTTTTGTTATATAAATTTTATGAGCACTCTGTCTCCGGCAATTGATTTCCCCTACCAATTCTTTGAAATCCTTTTGTATCAGATACATAAAACTTCGGGCTCTGGGAAACTGAGCCACCAATATGATAACAATAGATCCTAGAATTAAGTTTTGTGGCCAGTCAATGTGCTACTATAGGATATTTAAATCTGCGTATTCCAATCATGTGGTAGTCATGAGTTCATGGCCATCTGAGTGGGAGACAACAAGCTTCGAATTGTTAACTCTCTAGGAAGTAGTTAATAGATTGAAAGAAAGGATAAAGTCATAGTCATAATTTTTTTTCCCTAATCTCAATTCTTGTAAGTTCTTGTTATTTAAGGCCTAATATGGATGAATATACTATGCAGCTGCAATTGCATGGCATGAGGAGAGAGAGAAGAAAGTGGGTTGGAGATAAGTCTCAACATCCACCAAGAATGGCTAAAGACCCAATTATTAGGTATACCCCCCCTATCGGAGGAACTGAATCTGTGAATCCTTATCGAATATTTGAGAATGTGGTGGTTCTCTTGGTTAGATATGTAAACCAGTGCTCCTTTGAATTCTATTTATTAACTGATGACAACTGCCGCACAACCATGAGAATGAAAATGAAACTGTTTCATTGTTAATGATTAATGTCATGCTCAAGTTAGGCCCTGGTATATTCACACAGAACGCCAGAATACAGAAAAGAGAAGCAAAAGATAGAAAGAACTTGAATTTGTATGGATCATTCTAAAATACCCTGCATCAGCTTTTACAGATATTCCCAAAACTAACAGCTGGCTTTTGAGAGGCCGGTCCTCTCTTTACTTTCTGGTGTTTGGTCCAAAAGTGCCTTGTAACTGGAACTCAGTTCTATCAAAAAGACATTCTCAACAACTCCCTAAGCATCCCCTTATCATGGCAGAGCAAATCTTACTTCTTGTCTCTTCCTTTCGTCTCTTGACTCTCTTCTCATCTCTTGGCTGTTGTTTCCAGTGCCAGTGGTTTTATCTCCACTCCACTTGGCCTTCCGCCTTTTTTTTGGTCTCTATTTTTTAGGGATGGCCTAATTGTATCACTGGGACCTAATCTCATCATCACAAAAAGGAAAAAAAAAAAAAGTTTTATCTAGGATTATGGGTTCTATAATCCGTAGTTATACAATATTTTTTTTTTAATCCACAGACAACTCCTATCTTTGGGTGTTAATCCTTCCCTGTCAGCAATGCATTCTGTAGCAGTGAAAATGTTTACATTGGTTACTTGGTGATTTTCTCTCTCTTTTCTCTTTAGAATACAAGTCTTTCTCCAGGTTTATTGAAACTTATTCCATGTATACTTAGCCAAATTCTCATCTACTACGAATTTGAAAAATGGCAGATGGATATAGTATTCCTTGTTACGGGGTTGTGCTAAAGTTATGCTTGTAATAATTACATAAAAAATTTCAATTATCGCTGCTCTAAACAATTTAAAATATCCTTGATGCAGTTGGTCGACGTCATATGAAGAGTTACTTTCTACTAATGAACCTTTTGCAGAGCCAATACCTTTGCCGGTAAGATTCTATCGTTTGCATGAACATACACAGCCATATGCCTATCAAAATCATAGAAGTAATACTTATAATTAATGCGGCGAAATTTTTCTAAGGATAAAACTTGCCTGCATTTTCTTAGATATTTGCTGCAAGTCCTTTAATAAAAACATAGTATTTCAACTTTGTTGCATCCTTGACTCCTTTAAAAAGGCGACATATGCGAGGATAGAAAGTCTGTACCCTTGAGAGAAGGGAAGGGACATTGAATGATGATTATAAAGTGATGCCCTCAAGGCATCTCCGCAGCTCACTAATCTATGCCATTGAAGATGGTTTTTTAGATTTCCCTATCATTATGTTGTACGAGTAGTTGAGGGAAACCTCAAAAACTTTCTGAATCTGTGCTCCGTGATGTTATTTTGATGTATTGGTCACTTGATGCAGGAGATGGTAGATTTCTTGGTTGATATTTGGCATGACGACGGGCTCTTTGACTAATTGTTCCAAGGTTGAAATAAATGTCGACTGAAGCAAGAACCCTGTAAAGCCTTAAAGCTCCATTCATTTGCCACTCACTGGTCATGATGGTTATAAGAGAGGGGATACTATTGAGGATCATTACTTTATCCTCCTAGTACATTTTTTTCTTTTTCGCAAGAAAACAGATGGAAAGTCCCTAGTTCTCGTTGATTTAAGAGAAAAACCAATTGATATGTTTTCATCACTGCACTTTTATAAGCCGTTTCTTACAAGGTTCTTGGATGGTGTGTTGTTTTTTTTTTTTTTAAATAACTCTGCCATACGATTACCTTTTACCTAGAATTATTTTATTACAAGTAATAAATAAAATATTTAACCATCTTTTGATTTCTTACTGTATATTTGACTTTTAATTGGTATTTTATGTGTGAATCGACGAAACGGATGCAAAAACCTGGTTTCCTCACACTCGAGAATAAGACAGAGGTGTGAGGGTAACTAAACGAATATCTATTAAGGGGGTGTTTGGAAACCATGATTTGAAGAATAGCTTCTGGAGAATAGATTTTTTGAAGAATAAATTTTGTGAAAAAGTAATTCTGAAAAGTGAGAGTGTTTGGATAGTTGTTACCAGAAGCATTTTTTACTTGTGTAAATTACTAAAAGGGCAAGTTAATATGACAATTATATAAGGATAGGTTTTATAATATATTTTGATTTGAAGGAATAAAATTGTTAACAAAATAATTTTTACCAACATAATTAATAATATATAAGATATTATATTAATTAATAATTAATATGCATATATATTTATAAATTATAAGATTAAATATGTTTATAGAAAAATAAATAATTTTTTTCTAATAGAAAAATATTAATTTTCTTTAAAGATTTTAAACATGAAATTCTATAACATTTTTTCACAACTAGTTTTTATAATAACATACTACCTCTCATCTTTAATATAATTAATTAATTATTACTAATGTGTAAAATATTTATAAAATATAAGATTAAATATTTTTGAAAAAGATGAATATTTTTTATAAACAGAAAAGAAATAAATAAAAAAAAGTACAATGTAACAAAACATACACCTCTTTCTGGTTAAAAAAAAAAAAAAAAAAGACATACCACCTCTCTAAACAGTGAAGGACCGGAAGATTGAAGCTTAAGGGGCATAGTGTCTAGTCCCAAAAAAAGATCCTCGTATCCGTATGACACTCTCTAATTTTTTGTGCAAAAGCATATTCAAATGCTTTTTCCAAAACCATGGTTTTGGGGTCAAAATCATGGTTTTAATTTTTTTTATGGGTTTGGGTTATTTTGGTTTGGGAGACACCCAAACACACCCTAAAAGTAGACAACCAAGTTGAAAAGATCTGATTATCCCAGTTGGTACTACAAAAAATTTGATGAACTAACTCATAATATCACATTAATATTTGTTGGTCATGTCAGAACTGTACAGGCCAGTTCGATCAGTTAGATTATAAGGGTGTTAAACAACCTTCAAAATCACTTTTCCGTAAAATAAGATAAATTCTTTTATATATTTATTTTGTAAACTGTAAAAATACTTTTGAAACTATAGTTTGGTTTCCATCCAAACACTCCCTGTGAGCTAGCAGTATGTCCGGTTCAAACTCTCCTAGAACTAGCAAGAAAGTGAACCAGCGAACACTATTCAAACCTTTTGGCCCCCAAAAAGAAAAGAATACTCTTCCAACCGTCTTGAGCTGGGGTTTTTTTTAATTTGTAATGATCCAAAATTATTTTTTGTTTTTTCGTTTTGGGCTATTTTTCTTTAGTGTTATATATTGATGATTCATTAATGGTTTGATTAATCGTAAAAGTTTTTGCAAGTTATTTGGATAATTAATCTGGCATATATTTAATTATTTTGGTTATTTGTAATGGATAATAATGCTTTTAATGCAATGCGAGAGTGACTGATGGACGTTTTTTCCCTTTCTGGAATAATTTTAAAAAATTGCTATGGAGGTTGACGGATGTCGAGAGCGAAGATTTCACAGAGGGAAGGAGTTGGTTTTTCTTTAGGAGGATGAGCGGAGATTTACTAGACTGACCGATGTCAGAGTTATTCATGGACATCTGACATCACCAGCAAGTTGATCGTTAAAGGCGTTGATGAATTGCTGTTGGTGGTTAGGTCGGAATCGCAGCTTCGGATGTGTAGTTTGGGCGTCAAGGGTTTTGATTGATTACGTCTCTAGCTTCATTCAAAGTAGATTTTTTTTTTTTTGGATTTCTCCTCCGGTATCCCAGGGCAATAGGCATCTTTCAGCCGTGACAGCAGTCCCAGACTAATCCGGATCGAAGGCTTGCAAGGAACCTTTCGGTCGGCGCCCTCTGACCCCTCAGGGTGGCTACATTCTCACGGTTCGAACTCAAGACCCGTGGTTAAGTTAGGATAAGCCCCAACCAGCTGACCTAACCCTCGGGGTTCATTCAAAGTAGATTTTTGTAATTCACAAATGATTGATATATTGCTACGTAACTGTTCATCATCGAAAGCTGAAAAAACTTGCATTTTTATTTTTACCTATACCTTAACTTCACACGTCATCAAATTTTGTCTCCGTTCAACAAGAATTCATAATTTTCTGTATTCCGAATAATATTCTGATATTAGGAGGGGGGCCACAGTCCTCCGTTCATATGTATTGAGCCTCGCTGCAATAGCCATCTGGATCTGTCCACGTACTCGTTGCTTCAACTGCAAGCAAGCACGCTCTCTCCCTCTGCATCCTATTATTTTTGGGAAGCCAAGTGTGGTCTCTCCGGGATGAAGAAGATGGGTTCTTTAGGATGATTCCACCTGTGTTCTGTGCTCTTGCTGACTATGGCATTCGTCTCGCCTTTTTGTCTTCGACAACCGACGATGATCTTCGCCAGGTGGGTATATGATTTCCCATCCGTTCAGGCGAAGAAGAAGCTCATTAGGGAGCTCAGTTTGTTCCCTCGCGGGGATATTAATATCATTCTCGCTGGTAATTCTTCTGCTGAGCCGAAGATTGTTGAGAAGCGGTTCAGTTTCCCCTATGTGGTGGATTTGGAATCTCGGGTCTCGCTTGAAGATTTGGGTCGGTCATCATGCTGGTTATTACAACATCGATCATTCTCACGCAGCAAGGTCGAATTTCCTCTCAAGTTTTTCTGGGCTAAACTCTTTCTTTTGAATTATTTGAACAAAATTGTTGGTTTATTATGGTTTACATTCCCCGATTCATTCCTATGTCTGAAAACACCTAGCTGTAAACCCTGAATTTTTTAAGCGTTTACTTTACAATGTTCACATAAGCCGAATATGACTCTATCAACGCCAAAAAGGTTCTTTGTAATTGTTATTTTATGTTTTTTGGATGATGTCCTTATTCTTTTAAATTATTTCATATATGTTGAATGCGGCAGGATGTTCTACTTCTTCTTTGAATCTCGCAACAGCAAGAAGGATCCTGTTGTGATTTGGTTAACCGCGGGGACCTGGTTTGTAGCAGTGAATTGGCTTTGTTTTATGAAAATGGTCCTTTCAAAATTACCGGCAACTTGTCTCTTGTTTGGAACGACTATGGTTGGGACAAGGTATCCTAAACATCTGCTAGTACTTAGTATCCTATAAGGTACCATGGCTAAAATGTCTTATTGTGTGAGTACTTTGATCAGCTTGTGCGTCCATGGAGGTGGTGTGTGCGCATGGGGGGAAGGAATCTTAGGAATTTCCTTGTGTGTTTGTTCTGTGCTTTAAGTTACTAGCTTGTTACAGTTTAATCGATGATATTATTGCTGCCTCACCTTCCAATTAAGTTGATATTCCCTCCATCCCTTTTTATAAGAAATCTTTCTTGATGTCCTTAAATACAAGAAATAAATCTTTTGGCTAAAATTTTTAACTTTTCACTTTTATCCCTAATAAATATATGCGAGTTATTATCTCTTTATAGTAAATTTTATTCATTATATTCTCTTTGTACTCTCTTGTATTAATGACATTAATGCTCCTGCCGTGCTAGCAGATGTAGGTTGTGGTTTGGCATCGCGTTTCATGGCCTAAACGTACATCTCCATCAGTAAAAGCTACTTTTGGGATTGTGAAAGTTGTTTGGATTGACTTCTTTTTGTGATGGGCTTATGGGGTCAATGAGCTGTTGGCAGCAGAAGCTACTTTTTTTGGCTTTTGGAGTGATGAGCGGTTGGGGGTGAGAGATGGTGGGGTTGCGAGAGGAGAGAAAAAAAAGAAAGAAAGAGAAGAGAAGATGATGATGCTGGACATGAACAGTTTATTTCTTTTTTGACATTCACATGTTGTAAAGTGAAACAATAAATTAAGGATAATATTTTTTTAGTAAATACTGAACATAAATTATCGCAAAAGTAAATACTAACGTAAAATTGAAAAAAAAAAATGAAGAACCATGCGATTTTTTCATTATTTACTTAATGTTTTTTTTTGTAAAAAAGATATCTTTTGTTGTGAGCTTCTCAGAAAAGTAAACTTTTGGTGCGTTTTGAGGTGCTGTGGGCGGTGAAAGAAACCGTTGGAAAATTTATAGCTGTGTTAAAAATTTTTACCCACCTAACCCTCACCCTGCATGAATATTCTCTCACCTCATAATAAAACAAAATCACAAGTTCACAACACACACACTCCTCCGTTGGAAAAATTGTCACATTATATATATAATTCCTTTATAACAATAAATTAAATTTTCTTATTTTTAATAATTTTATTTTCAGTACTTTTTTTAAAATGGCCACATTATACATATAATTTTTTTCTAATAATAAATTAAATTTATTTACTTTTAATAATTTTATTTTCCTTCTTAAAAAATAGTCACATTATATATATATCTAATATTAGATATATACTATTAATAAAATTCATGTCCTTTTAAGTCATTTTACATCTAAACTTACTTTTACATTTATCATCCAAACAAGTTTCAGCTTCTCAAACTGACTTTTTTTAAAATCCAATCCAAACATAAATCACATTACCCTATCTGACTTTTATCCAATCTGACTTCTGTAAAAGTCAGATTGAAAAAAAAGTTACTTCTCCACCGTTAATCCAAACACATCCGTAGTGAGATCTGGTCATTGACCAGTCTTTAGGTGTCATTCCTGGCATAACTCGAACAGCGGCTGACGGTTTTTAAACAGATGGAACAACTGAAAGATGTGCAAAGATCTTGACTTTTCTTAC